TTATTAACTTAACAAACAGACTGCGAACAATCTGTTTTACAGTCGGTGTGTTCTTTAATTTTTGTGTTTTTGTTTTTTTGCTTTTGATTTTAATGGCGTTTAAAAAAATCGGCCATTACAATATTATTTTCGCGAACCCCCTCTGCAAACATTGCGAACCCCCAGGGGTTCGCGAACCACCGGTTGGGAATCACTGTTCTACTTAAAAGCTTGCTTTCCACACACATAAAGAGTTCATTATTTTAGTCTACTAACTGAACGTTATACATATAGTAGTAGCATCAATCCCACAAACAATTTTCTCACGTGCCTATATGTAAACCTGCGAATATAAATCCATTTTTATGTTAATTTTGTAAATGGAGAACATTTCCCTAGTAATCTCAATTGGGCTTTCATTAGTTTTGCATGAACAAGGCATAAAACCACATTGTTGAAGTCACAAAACACTTTTATTGCCTTGTTGTCGCCATATAGCCATAAGGGAAACAGAAATAAATCATAAATTTTTACGGAAGCTGAAACGGATGCGGATGCGGACGCGGAAGTGTGATTATTTTAGGTGACACTTTAAGGGAGTGGTCGTCCACCATTTTCGCGAATATTTTGTTATGAATTTGTCATTTAGTGCTTGTGCCGTTAATATGAACAAAATAATCCCAAATGGAAATTCTTTTTGACTTCAAAATTGCACTTATTTACACTACTGAGCAAACACTATACAAAACAGATAAACGCTATAACTGTATTAGTTTTTTCGAAATGAAATTGTTAGGAGAACTACTTAGCTAAGAGGGAGCTGAAAGTCCTGGACGTTTTGAGGTTATAGTAAGAAACTAGTAAAAGAATAAAATTTGGAAAATATCAACATACGAAATACTAGGAAATAGATTTAGGCTACAATAAAGTTATTTGTACAATGACAATATTATTATTAACAAAATTTTGCCAGCTATAACGTTGCATTGACGCTAATAATACTTCATAAACATAAATAAATGATTGATAATACATTCACAATGTTACAGAGGGGTCGCTGATAGCTGGCGCAGGTACCAGCACAACATTCACCTTTGCAACAAGCATTTTCATTTCAATTGTATTTTGAAAACGGCCAAGTTCAGCCAACAGATAAATATAATATGTTTTCAAGACTTGTTTGATGGTTCTGATTTATTCATTTTCAAAAAGATAAGAAATAAGATTTTGTTAAGTTCCAATAAGCTTTCATTATAAAAATGCGGAACTACATGCAGAAACGGATGTGAAAATGTATGCGGAACTTCCGTAATTACGGAAGCGGAAGCACAGGTCTGTTGTAACATTTTTCTTTTTCTTTTGGGTGTTTCATTCCCACCAGCCAGTAATGCTGGTGGGCGGGCAGTCCTTCTGGACTATGCCGGAATGTAGGGCGGAAGGCCTTCTTCAGCCTGCTTTCAGGAATCGTGGGAATGGGTGGGTGGTGGTTCGGGTGAGAAAGATGATACGGACGAAATGAAGACAGAAGAGAATGAAAGATTATCTGTGGAATATTACTGCCTCAAAGGGTCTCGCCGGGTTTCCATATGAAATCTGCACTGGCGTCTTTTTTGACATTGATGCCTTTAATAAATTACTAGTTGTTGAAAATAATTTTTGCCCAATTATCAAACCTCTAACTTTGTTAGTTTTTGGAAAATGGGGGTTGCAACCCGTAACATCAAAATTATTTTTCTACGAAACTATGATAGCTATTCGAATGAAACCAACGCGACATGAAAGCTCTTAATTAGCGTTACATTATATATTTTTTTTATAATTTTCCAAATAACTATAAGACTGCAAAAAAATATATTTACAAAATAGGGGTGTTTTTTAGTGGCTATTTCCTGAGGTACACCGACCAAAAAAA